GAGAGAGCAGAAATACAACATATGATTGAGTGAAAGGAGCGCCTATGTAATTAACGGAGCTCGGACGAAGTAGATGGCAAGGGGATCGAGCGAGCACGTTGCACCGGGAGACACACAGACAGACACAGAGAGAGAGAGAGAGAGAGAGAGAGAGAGAGAGAGAGAGAGAGAGAGAGAGAGAGAGCTCTGGAATTTGTGCGTAGTTCCAAAACGAAAGGTATGTTCCTTAGTTAGCATCAATTTGGTAGATTAGGTGCCGACGAATGAGAGTGGGGGGTAGGACAGCAAGTTAGGAGAACATTTCTGATTCCTGCTCGCTTGTAGCAATGTCCGCCTCACTTTTTGGAGAGTTTGAGGAAAGCGACGCGTGTTGTGACCATTTCTTTACCTTCGGGTTTTTATATTCTTCAGCACTGTGCGTTGTTTGTTTTTTGTCTTTTGCTTGTCTTTTTTTTCCCCCTTCTAATTCAAACCATTTCTTCGATTGATGCGTGCCATCCTTGTGCAGGTGCCATGCTAATCTTCATTCCGTGTATCGTTCCAATTTTAACGGATGTCGCGGAGGACCCGAGATTGTTTGTCATGAAGCCCTTTCTTGCACGTTTGATTCGACAGTAAAGGGAGGGGGGGGCTGGGTAACGGATGTAGTGGCCAGCGTGTCACAGTTTTTTTTTTTTTTCTTTTTTTGGGAGGGGGGGGCGCGGGGGAAAGGGCACAGGTTAGCACAAGCGCGAGGAGTGGAGGGAAAGAGCGTAAAATGTTTTTACTGACTTTTTTTTTAAGCGCTGGGGGCTTGATGAACTGTATATCTGTGAACACTGAATAGTGCGCGCCGATTCTCGACCGGCGTAGATTGAAAACATCGATGGCCAGAAGTGGATGGACTGCTGAGCTAGATAAGGTATGCTGGCCGCGTGGCGCGCTATAGTGAAAGAGGTAATAATTGCACCAATCTTTCTTTTTTTTTGTTGTTGAAATAACCCCGGATCGGGTTACTAGGCAGGGTGGTAAGAGCACCCCCCCCCTAGTACCCCTTCGTCGGGTGGTCCAATCTATTGATGATGGGAAGCTGCACCTGGTGCAAACCTGGTCCAGAGTCCCAAATGGGACATCGGACTGATTGAACCATTGGTTCCAAATAATTGCACCAATCAATTAAGCGGGTTGAGAAAGACCTGCTCCGGGGAGCGTGTGGCGGTGTGGCGCGCTTCTCCGCGGCATCGACAAATGCGATTCAAAATGGTGTGAGTTGCTGAATCATCGCTCTCCG